GCTATCACAAATTCAAGGTAAACCCATCATTAGGATCATTCCTAATCACAATGCTATTTCCATAAATCTCCACATGATCAAATATCCCCAAAATCGTTCTCATATCACAAACTAATCACTTAAATTCCCGTTAAATGTTGGCCCTCGGGGTGTGAATAGTGCCGGTGAATAGTGACCCCGACGTGAATAGTAACTCCACTTCCACAAATTGGCCAAAACACTAGCTAATCTCACGGGATTTTCTCTCCAAAAATCACAACAATCTAAATCAAGCTAATTTACACTTAAACCAAGCTTAAAACATGTTCAAAGGCTACCGGAATTCCCCCCATTTTTCCAACAAAATTCGGACATACAAGGCAGCAAACTAAATGGACAATTTAAGCCTTAAAAGGCTGTCACATACCAGAATTTGCAAGCAAAACCGGACTGCAGGTTGGGGGAAGAGGCCGGCGGCAAGCTGCAGGGAAAGCTCACAGGTTTACCCAAAAATTGGAGAAAATAAGAGCAATCAAAGTTAACCCAAGCCAATTCAAGCAAGAACAAAGGAATTAGGGGCTGTTCTTACCGCAAAAAATGCCCAGAAATCACCCACAATCAAGAGCAGCCGGCGGAAGGACAAAGCAGAGCAGGGCAGATCCGGCTTTTCCAGCAGGGGAAGAAGGTTTCTGGGTTCTTTATGGGCTCTAGAACAAGAAAGGAAGGAGAAAACCAAGCTTATCTCACCAATTTCTCAAAGGCTGGCTGGGTTCCCTTTCTTTTTTTTTTCCTTCAGGTGGCTGCAGTGGGAAGAAAGAAGAAGAAGAGCAGAATCGGGCAAGGCTGGGAAGAAAAGAAAGAAAGAAAAAGAAAAAGAAAAAGAAAAGAAGTCATCCTTATCCAAAATCTTTCCCTCTTTAAGTCCCTCAACTTTCAAAATGTTGGCCATCAAGCCCCAAACAATCTTTTCTCACAATCAAGTCCCTAACTTAAATGATAAAATTCCTGAAAATTTGGGATATTACAAAGAAGGTGTTTGATAAAGTCAATGAATTTGTAGAAATATTGTCAATATGATTAACATTCATAGGGGAGCCATTAGTAGAATAAATGTTAGGAAAAGAATTATTTGGTGACATTGAAAAGAAATGAGTAGCAGTTGAAGATATCTGATTACAACAATTAGAATCAAAATACCAAGGCTTAGTACTTGGGGTAGTAGATAAGGCAATAGGAGCATTAAGAAAATTTAATATCACTTGTTTTAGAGATTTAAGGTTGACAATAAGTTGGCCTATCGCCTCTTTGGCAACCATTACAGTAGTAGGATGAGTCACAATTCTTTCAAAACTTGCCATAGAATCAGTAGAACTCACAATACTTAAAAAATCTCTAAAAATGTAAAGATATAGATGCCAAGATCGAAATAACAACTCAACAAAATACCTCAGAAAAGGCCTGAGAATTGAGAATGAACAATCCAATTTGTAGGAGAAGAGAATCCAATGACAAAGTTTCAGATCTTGAATAGATCTAAAAATCTAACTCATAAACCAAGCAGTGATGATAAAAAGAAGAAGAACCAGGAGCTTATAGCTCTGATACTATGTTAGAAACAGAAAAGAAGAAGAATAATTTGAAGAAATGTTTATTGCTTTCTCTAATAATACTGTATGTACAATGACTTATATATAGGTGTTTATAAAGAGAATATTTTAAGGTATAAAATATTTACAATAAGTGTATTCACATCTTAACAATAATTTTTGTAATTAATTTTGTACAAAGTTTTACACTAGATTTATATTTTTTTTAAAATAATTTTTTAGTATAAATACTATATTTTATTTTAATTTTATATTTTATATTTTATTTTAAATAAATCTAATATAAAAATTTATATAAAATTAATTACAAATACCAATTGTTAGAAAATCCCCTAAAATAATTGCTCCATTTGAGTCCTAATTTTCACTTTATAAATATCTAGAAATTTTAGGGATTAGTTAAATTCTCAATAATTAAGCGTTAAAAAGACATTTATTTCTAGTAGAGCTTTATTATATTTATAAATAAACTAAAATAACATTAAATGTCTCATATAAAGAGGGACAACTAAATAGAAACAATCAAAATTTTAATAAGTAAATCAACTAAATTAAAATAGAGAGAGTATTAAAGTATAGAGAAGTGTTGTCCAGTCTTATACAACATTAATCATTAACGAAGTAGGAGTGAGACAGTGAGTAAAAATTCTGCCAGTGGAGAGACTGGTAAGAGAAAGGCTGGGGATGAAGATAGTTAGAGAGGGTTGGACAAAATATAGTTGTTAAAATTTAGTGGATAGTGAAAAATAAATAACAGATAGTAGATAATGGATAGCAAATGACAGTTACCAGGTAACGGATAACAGTTAACGGATAGCAGATAGCAGTTAGCAGATAACGGATGACAGATAACAAAAAGCTAGTGGCAAATTATAGATAGCAAATTCAATTAATATAACTGTTTAATTATATAATAATTAACTATTGTTGTTCAAAATTAAATGAATAATAAGGACCTGTTTAAAAATAATTAAGTGTGTTTTTTACTTTTTATATTTTTTATTATTAAAATTATTAATTTTATAAAAATAATAAATAATAAATTATAATAGTGTAGTAATAGACTAATTTTTATTTTTAATAAAGAAAAAATTATGTTAGTTTTAAATAAAGTATACAAATTTTTTTTCTTTTCATCTAATTAGCAAATTTTGTTTATTAAGTTAATATTTTTTATAATGAATTAATGTAAAAATAAAAATATAATAAACACTTCATGTTATGAAAAACCAAAAATAAATTTGAAAATAATTAGATAAGTATTAATTAAAAATCATAGTTAAGAATTAAAAAAATAAAGTAGATAAATTTATTAATAAAATTAAAAAATTTTAAAGCCCATTTGATATAGTTATTTGGAGGTAATAATTAGCGGTTTTGTCCAAACTGCTAAGAATAGGTGTTTAGTAAAACTTTTTATTTAGTAATTTGAGACTACTAGATAACAGTTAAAGTTTAAATTGTTAATAGATTGAAAAATCTATTTAGAGTAGCTTTTTGTATCAAACCACTAGCAAATTGGAATTTTTTAATTTTATTGACAAATTTATCCTTTTAAATTTTTTAATTTTTTCCATAGTTTTAAATTAGTATTTCTAATTAGTTTCAATTTTATTTTTTATCTTTAATAATATTAAGTAATTATTATATTTTTACATTAATTTATTATAAAAAAAATATTAACTTAATAAATAAAATTTACTAATTAGACAAAAAGATTAAATTTTTTTACTTTATTTAAAACTAATATAATTTTTCCTTTATTAAAAATAAAAATTAATGTATGATTATATTATTATAATTTATTTATTTTATTATTATTTTTATAAAATTGATAATTTTAATAATAAAAAATATAAAAAAATACACTTAATTGTTTTTAAATATATCCTTATCAGTAATTTAATTTCAAATAACAATTGCTAACTATTACATAATCAAATAGTTATATTAATTGAATCCGTTATTTACTATCTGTTATTCGCATTTTATTATCTCTCACCCACTATCTATTAACTGCTACTTATTACTCACTACTGATATTCACTATCTATTATCCATTACTTGTTATCTACTGAATTTTAACCATTATATCAAACAAACTTTTAATCCACTAGTGATATGGTACAAAAAGATATTTTTGGTAATTTTTCAATTTGCTAACAGTTTAAATCCTAATCACTATCTGTTAATCTCAAACCATTAAATAAAAAGTTTTACCAAATATATAATTTGTAACAATTTTGAAATAAATAAGTTTATTAAACATCTAATCTTAACAATTTAGATAAAATCACTGAACAATACTGTCAAACTATTATATTAAATGGGTCCTAAGTGAGATTTAGAGGTAATCACATAGTGCTTCACTATTATACTCCTGAATATTAATGATTCTTGTTTCCTAAAAAAAATTAATGAGGTCATTGAATGTGGGTTCCTTTCTCCAATTAATAATTTATGTTTTACCGTTAGATTTTACACATTTTTGATACCTCTAGTTTTCCCCTTCCGCTCCCCCTCCCCCAAGGAGTATTAATTGATGGCTTTGGAGCGTCGGACCATACCCAGCATCTTATCGATAGTTGGCATTCTTTATCCAAACCTATCAAACTTCATACGACTAATTGGGCTTGTTATCCAATTGGGTCACTTGGCCATGGGACAATCACCCCAAATACTATTATCTTGATGACACCCTTAGGAGAGAAAAAAATAATAATAACAATAACAAGACAAATTGAAAAGTATTGTGGAGACCGTCTCTCCAAGGAGACTGCCCCCATCATTGAGTCTAACTTGTCAGCTGAGACTGATAGGAGACCAGCATTGGAGGAGCTGGTCATTGCTCAAGTGACTGTGCTTAGTCCGTGTTTTATGAAATGTTGAAGACTTAAAAAGTTCAAATATTAGACATACTCATAAAGAAGTTTTGAAATGTTTATAAAAGGAAAAGAATACCAATACAGTATTTTTTTTTTGTTGGTATTAATCTTTCAATATTTTGAAATTATATTGAATTTTGATTAATTAAAAATCAAATTATGTCAAATTTTGTAAGGAAAGAAATTTTCATAATACTTGTTTTTTTATTTATAGAATTTGAACTCAAAACATTACTTAAAAAAAATCGACTTCCTTCACCTGAATTAATAGATTATCGGTATTAACATAGTATTAATTATCTAGTGGTAAAGTCTCATAATTTTATATGAAATATCTATGATTAATTCTTAATATTAAATCATGACATTTGGTATTTATCTTATTATTATAAAATTTCAAATATGACTATTGCAATGAACCATCCCTCTGGGAGTGCTAGTGCTGGCGGACTCATCCGTGACCATGGAGGCCGATGGCGGCACGGTTTCGCCACTAACATTGGACAATAATCCAGCTACATGGCAGAGCTTTGGGGCTGCCGCACTGGTCTTCAGTTGGCTTCTGAGCTGGGAATTACCCACTTGGTTCTTGAAATGGACTCTCTTTTAGCGGTACAGATGATTCAAGCGAGGAAAGCTGGGGAAGGTATGCCTTCTGGATTGTTACTGGATATTTTCCATTTCCAGCACACTTTGCGCGAAGGGAACTCAGCAGCTGATTTTATGGCCTCACTTGGCCATAATCTTACTCAAGGCACTACATTCTTCCCGAATCCTCCCGAAGGCATTGGGAGCATTCTTCATAGAGACAACATGGGAACTTTGTTCCTTAGGACTTAGCTTTGTTTAGCTTCTTATGTACCAAAAAAAAAAAAAAAGAATTTAAATCATGGCAGCTTCGTAATTTACCATTAAAGCGGAAAAAGGAAAAGAAGAAACGTAAACTTTGGAGTAAATTACCACACCATGAACCCAGAGGATATGGAGAGCTTGACAACTGGGAGAATGTCATAGAACGCAGCTTTGCTGAACCCATTCCTTGTATTCGGACACCACCCTCCAAATATGTAGATGAACTCGCCGATAACCATTGACCAGCAGGAGATATTCAAGGCGGCCATTGCTCCGTTGGCCCCCCAGTCAAGCTTATAAACGAAGATCCATGAGAGCAACAGATGAAGAAAGTAGGAGACGGTGGAGAGCCAGCCAATGATCATGTTCTTCATCTGCGCTTGCAAGTACATTTGGATTGTCAGTCCGAAGACAAAATTGTAGAGAAAGGGTATGAACCAGAGCGAGATCGGCCCTGCCGCCACCGCTATCTCTTCCTCCTCATCGATTAGTCTCAGGATTGGCGTGGCAAATATGAAGAACGGAATCGTCAGTGCGGCGACTAATCTGTTAACAATCCATGACCTCAGCAAGTAGATTCCCATCATGTGGTAGTGTCCGGCGCCGAACGCTTGGCTGCAGAGGGTTTCAGTGGCACTTGACATGCCAACCTAGTTAATTTCACACATTTAACCAATAAATCATCAAATTTTGGCTTGACAGAGGACTAATATACAACGGATTGCGAAAAAACAGTCACTCTGCCACTGATAAGCGTATTCTTTACAGAAAAAGAAAAATCAAAATAGGGAAAATTCGTTCTTACGAGAATTCCATTGATGAAGCGAACGAAAATGCTCTGGACGAAGGCGAAGGTAGCAAGTTCGACTTCACCAACATGACCGAGGAAGGATTGAGTGACAACGATGAGGCCGAAGTAGGTGACTTTGGAGATTATTCCGAAAAAAGCGATTCTCCAGATGATTTTGCTTCATTCAAGACCTTCGAAAACAAAGAGGCAAGAATTTGTCATTTGTTTCTAGGTAACGTGTTGCTTACATGACTGGTTATGTGATACCATGTAAATGATGGCACAGACTTCCGTTAACCTATTTATTAGAACTACGTTAAGTAAATAAAATTGATACAATTTTAAAAGTTAATAAATGAATTTGAAAGAAAATAAAGATTCTAGACTAAAACAAAACAAAAACAATGTCAATAGTTAAGTAATAATTTATCAAATTAAGCCCAATTTAGAACCCTTGCCATTTTAGTGAAGGGTTGTGTGAACGAGGGTGACTTTGCAACTAGGTATTGGCGACTTGCTTGAAGCTTTTTTAGTGCCAGTGGACTTATGCAACCAAGAGGCTGACGTTGGTGTGTGAATTGTTGGAATAGAGCAGGGATTTGGGGCTGGATTTACCCAGAGGTTTCTGGTTGGATTGGAAGGGGAGGTGATAGCAAGGTGGCTTGAAGGTAACCCAGCATAGGTTTTTGGTCGATGACAAGGGTTTGCTATACGGAGCTTTTCTGGGGTGCTGGCTTGAGGTGGGTTCAATGTGGGGGGAAGCTTCACTAATTTCAGGTGGATGGTTTCAATGGAGAAGGTTGGAGTAGTGGCTAGTTTTCTGGCTAGTATTGCTTGGTATCTTATGTGAGGGTCAGCGTGCAGATAAATTTAGTTTGTTTTGGAATCAAAATTGGAGAAGGTGTCTGCAAAGTGTGATTTTTGTCATCGAATCTTAAGACACCTTTCCTTGCAAAGGACATTGTTGCAATTGATTATTTGTAGAATATGACGGTGTTGTAACATGGAAGATGTTTTTGTGAGTGTTCAAGGTCCATAATGTGCTAAAATCAAGGGGTTTGATAGGGTGTGCTTGTTCAATTTTTTTCTGGATTGGAGGTTGTTACTGCAATTCAGAATGGCGGTGAGATGGGTTTTAGTGCCTGTTGTTGTATACTGTAATGGTGTCAGGTGAGCTATGATAATATAACTAATACTCAAGAGACAGGAGAAATAGCCAAAACCATATTCTAGTTTTATTTTTGCTATTTCTCTTTCTAATAAATTAGTATTTAAACTACTTTGTACCTAAATTTGAAATATTAGTAGTAACATATGAGAATTTCAAATGCTAGGGTGCTCTTGTGGCCATAGAGATTCCTTGTAATAACTTTCCCCCCTTTTATTAATACAAAGCCGTGGCCATTTTCATTTTTGGGAAAAAAGGAAAAATAAACCCAATTTCTACGGGAGAGATATTCAACATCAAGGATTCAAAGGAAACACATTGAGCCATGGTTGGTAACAGGTCCTAGTTTGAAAGCCCTACCTTCAATCTCTTTGCAAGGCTAAAGGACTCGTGCTCAAAGCTAGCTAGGAAAACTAAGGCCCCACTCATGTTCCATTCCTAGTTCCGCCACTAAATTCAACCATGTAAAAGTAGACACCTCGAACTTTTATAATTTCCTTTATTTAACTTCACACTAACATAGAGAAGCAGAATCTTAGGCCAAGTTCAATCCTCCTTTTTTTTTTATGTTAATTTAATTTATAGAAATAGCTCTAAGATGCTTTAGAAAAAATGTAGTTGAAAATACAATCTCAAAAGTGCAATTTGGTGAAAAAGGATCAAATTTCAAATACTGCAACACAAGAGAATACCCTTACCAATATTCCATTTGCGAATCGGACAGTGATGATCAGTATAAGGGCATAGGCTGCAAAGCTCAACCTCACTGATGTGTCCGATGAACGCTTGAGTGTTCCAAAGCCCGATACTAGAGCTAACATGGCAGGAAATGCAACCCTCCATATCTTCTTTGATTCCTCCCATACTCTCACCCTCAAGTTCTCTTTTCTTTCATGGAGAAGTCTCTCATCCATGTCCAATAGCTTTAAACTACGAAGAAAGAACGTTTTTTTTCATAACCACGGAAAAGAAATAAGGCAATTTCCACATTATAAGCAGAGGGCCAATCAAAAAATTGTACAGGAGAACAAAACAAAGAAAAATGGTTGATAAAGATAGAGGAAGTTTTGCTTCGTCCTTGTTTGATTGGCAGTTATGGAAGAACCGACACTGGTGGTTGGAGCTAGTTTCGGAAGTAGAGTATCACAAGATGAATCTAGAAAGAATTTGAAGCAGTTCGAGGAAGATGCTGTGATCCCACTACAGACATTACCATGCTGCTGAGATATAATATTTTTTAATACATGAACAACCAAACAAAATGGAAGCGGAATGACAGTTAGAGGTCAAAAAATGGAAATTCTATTATGACTTATAGATGGTTGCTAAATGAACCCGGGTCCATGAAATCTTTGTCAAGGTGGACTGGTAGGTATAGAGCGAGTAAAAAAATTCTTACGACTTCTAGATGGTCTTGGAAATGCTACAGTAGTAAGATTTTTGCAATAACAATGTTTCAATTCGATTGTGGGTAATTTTGATTTGGTTTAAAATTTCTCCACATATTCCTAAATTCGAAGCCTCCTTTGTTTTTTTTTTGATGCACCGAAGCCTCCTTTGTTTGATCTGAATTAAATGAACTTCACGTTTTGAATCGTTTAGTTTACATAGGGGAACTGCAAATCTGCGACTCTGTTTATGGGCTTGGGCCAGGATAAGCCAGACTTATGGTCCCTGACATAACCAGCCTTGGCAGTCTCTACTTTTTAGTAAACTAAGCCCATTCTTGTTTTAAAAAGATCAAATCTCCTATTTGTCTTGTTTTTTTTTTTTTTTTTTTTTAACACCTTTTATAATTTTTATTTCAGTTAATG